GCCATCACACCCTGCCAATTTTTAATTTTTTTTTTTTTTTTTTTTTTTGGAGACAGAGTCCCTCTGTTGCCTAGGCTAGAGTGCAGTGGCACAACCTTGGCTCACTGCAACCTTTGCCTCCCGGGTTCAAGCGATTCTCCTGCCTCAGACTCCTGAGTAACTGGGATTACAGGCACACATCACCATGTCCCACTAATTTTTGTAATTTTAGTAGAGATGGGGTTCATCATGTTGGTAAGGCTGGTCTCAAACTCCTGACCTTGTGATTCTCCCACCTCAGCCTCCCAAAGTGCTGGGATTACAGGCATGAGCCACCACACCCGGCAATTTTTAAATTTTTTTGTAAAGATGAGGTCTCATTATATTGCCCAGGCTGGTCTCCAACTCCTGGGGTCAAGTGATCCTCCCATCACAGCCTCCTAAAGTGCTGGGATTACGGGCATGAGCCACCATGCCCAGCTTTTTCTTTTCTTTTTTTTTTTGACAGAGTCTTGCTCTGTTGCCCAGGCTGGAGTGCAGTGGCGCAATTTCAGCTCACTGCAAGCTCTGCCTCCTGGGTTCACGCCATTCTCCTGCCTCAGTCTGCTTTTTCTTTTCTTATTACAGTGGCTAGCATCACCAGAACAATGTTGAATAGAGGTGGTGAGAATGGACATCCTTGTTCTCAATCTCAGGAGGAAGTTATTCAGTCTCTTACCATTTTTGTTTTTGTTTTTGTTTTTTGAGATGGAGTCTTGCTCTGCTGCCCAGGCTGGAGTGCAATGGCGCCGTCTCGGCTCACTGCAACCTCTACCTCCTGGATTCAAGCAATTCTCCTGCCTCAGCCTCCTAAGTAGCTGGGGCTACAGGCACACACCACCATGCTTGGCTAATTTTTGTATTTTTAGTAGAGATGGGTTTCACCATGTTGGTCAGGCTGGTCTCAAACTCTTGACCTTGTGATCCGCCCTCCTCGGCCTCCCAAAATGTTGGGATTACAGGTGTGAGCCACTGTGCCCGGCCTTCGGTCTTTTACCATTAAGCAGAATATTACCTGTGGCCTTTTGTAGATGTTGCCTATCAGTTTGAGGAAATTCCCATTTATTCATAGGTTTCTGAGAGGTTTTTTTGTTTATTATTATCCTGAAAAGGTGTTGAATTTGTCATATCTTTCTCTCATTTGTTGAAATGATCATGTAGCTTCACTGTATTATTTTTCTTTTCTTTTCTTTTTTTGGAGACAGGATCTTGCTCTGTTGCCCAGGCTGGAGTATAGTGGCACAATCTTGGCTCCCTGCAACCTCTGCCTCCTGGGCTCAAGCCGTCCTCCCACTTCAGGCTTCCAAGTAGCTGAGACTACAGGTGCACACCACCATGCCTGGCTAATTTTTGTATGTTTTATAGAGACGGATCTCACTACGTTGCCCAGGCTAATCTCCAACTCCTGAGCTCAAATGACCCTCCCACGTTGGCTTCCCAAAGTGCTCAGATTACAGGCATGAGCCACCGTGCCCGGCCCTGCCTCACTGTACTCTTGATTTTCATTTGGCAAGTGAAGCTGAGGAACTTTTTCTGGGTTTAAGAGCTATTTGTCCTTCGTTTTCTGTGACTTCTGGATTCATATCAGCCTAAGTGGTTGGCATTTTCTTACTGCTTTCTAGATGTTACTTATATAACGAGGATATTTTATCCATGAGTTCAACTTTGTTTCCAGTTACACTTTGATTATATTTTATTCTTTGATTGTATTTATGGACTTCTTCTCAGCAGAAAAATGTGGGTATTTGCATCACTGATGTGCCCTGTTTTTCTCGGGCAAGTTCTGGGTTATGTCTCCAGAACTTCCTTTTTAAAAAATTTGTATTTATTTATTTATTTATTTATTTATTTATTTATTTTATTTTATTTTTTTATTATACTTTAAGTTCTAGGGTACATGTGCACAATGTGCAGGTTTGTTACATATGTATACGTGTGTCATGTTGGTGTGCTGCACCCATGAACTCGTCATTTGTATTAGGTATATCTTCTAATGCCATCCCTCCCCCTCCCCCCCCGACAATAGGCCCCGGTGTGTGATGATCCCCTTCCTGTGTCCAAGTGATCTCATTGTTCAGTTCCCACCTATGACTGAGAACATGCGGTATTTGGTTTTCTGTTCTTGTGATAGTTTGCTGAGAATGATGGTTTCCAGCTGCATCCATGTCCCTACAAAGGACACGAACTCATCCTTTTTTATGGCTGCTTATTTATTTATTTATTTATTTATTTTTATTTTTATTTTTTTTTTTGCTTATTTATTTTTTGAGATGGAGTCTCGCTCTGTCTCCCAGGCTGGAGTGCAGTGGCGCAATCTCGGTTGACTGTAACGTCCGCCTCCCAGGTTCAAGTGATTCTCCTGCCTCAGCCTCCTGAGTAGCTGGGACTACAGGCGCCCACCACTACACCCGGCTGAGTTTTGTATTTTTAGTAGAGATGGGGCTTCACCAGGTTGGCAAGGCCGGTCTCGAACTCCTGACCTCAGGTGATCTGCCCGTCTCAGCCTCCCAAAGTTCTGGGATTACAGGCATGAGCCACCGCGCCTCGCCAGAACTTCCTTTTAGAGCTTTCACATGCTCTTCTCTGGGGCTGAAGGTACCAGATTGGGGCTGAGGTACTCACCCCAATCTCCTCTTACTCATTCTCAAAATATTGCAGAAACCATCACACTGGAGGTAGTAGAGACCCAGAAACTCACTTTACTTCCGGAAAGGGGAGGCTTCAGTCTCAGGCCAAGGATGAGAACATAAAGTTGCATTCCTGTCTGCTGAAGCCACCCAGGAAGTGAAAGAAAACACTACGGCCAAGCTTCTGCTTGGCACTTCCTGCCGCAGGTCAGCTGTGGCTCCACTGAGCTGAGGACATAATCTCTATCTCTTTCCCTTGACCCACGCGGCCCTACCCACGCCATCAAATGAGTCTCAGCTCCCCGTGGCCCTGACATCCTGCTCTTCTCAGGAACACTGTGAATTCGCGAAGCCTCCTGGCCTTTGCCTGGGCTGTTCTGCCTGCCAGAACTGCCCACACTCCCACACTCTCAGGTCACTCTCGGGCTAGTCCCACTTGTTGTTGGATTTCAGTATCAAAGCCACCTCTTCCAGGAAGCCCTCCCAGATCCAGTCATCTCTCTTAGCAGCCTGGTCCCAGGGGCAACTGGTATCATTATTGGGCAATAGCTTGTTTATTGCCATCTCCCCTGCTGGACTCTCAGCTCCCCTGGGCAGGGATTGGGTCTGCTTTGTCCCCGACTCCCTGCACACAGGCTGTGTGCAATAAACATCTCTAGGTGATTGAACAGTTAAGGTCAACAAAATACTTCCCAAATCATTTTTGTGTTAAGACTTGTGATGGTGATACAGAGATGAAGATGACTTTTTTTTTTTTTGAGACAGGGTGTCACTCCCATTGCCCAGGCTGGAGTGCAGTGGTATGACCACGGCTCACTGCAGCCTCAACTTCCTGGGCTCAGGTGATCCTCCCACCTCAGCCTCCCTAGTAGCTGGGACTACAGGCACATGCCACCACACCCAGCTTATTATAATTTTTTGTTGTTGTATTTTTTTGTAGAGACAGGGTTTCACCATGTTGCCCAAGCTGGTCTCAAGCACCTAGGCTCAAGCCATCCTCCTGCCTCAGCCTCCCAAAGTGCTGGGATTACAGGTTTGAGTTACTGCTCTTGGTCACAACTTCTTAAATCTATTCCTTTTTTTTTTTTTTTTTTTTTTTTTTTGAGACAGAGTCTTGCTCCGTCACCCAGGCTGCTGGAGTGTGGTGGCATGATCTCAGCTCACTGCAACCTCTGCCTCCTGGGTTCACACCATTCTCCTACCTCAGCCTCCTGAGTAGCTGGGATTACAGGCACATGCCACTACGCCCAGCTAATTTTTATATTTTTAGTAGAGATGGGGTTTCACCATGTTGGCTAGGCTGGTCTTGAACTCCTGGGCTCAAGCAATCTTCCCACCTGGGCCTTCCAAAGTGCTGGAATTACAGACGCGAGCGACTGCACGCAGTCACCACTTGTCAGTTTATTCCTGAAGCTCTACTGCCAGGGGCTCCAATCCTATTATCCTACGAACACTGGCCCAAGTCTCTGCATTTGGATGCTGCCCGGGCCTTTTGCTTCTTCCATTTATAACAGTTCCTACTTCCAACCCTCCTGTGGCTCCAGATTATGATCCGGGTAAAACCCACCCTTCTCCCAAAGACCCTGATCCCCCTGTCCCCGCACGATCTTGCCCCTGTTGACCGCCCTGCAGTCCCCTTCCCCCTCATCTCACCCCCGCCCCTGGCCTCCTGACTGCTCTTCAAGCTGCTAAGATCATTGCTCTCTCAAGGTCTTCGCCCATCCTGTGCCCTCCTCCTACAGCGCCCTTTCCCTGGCCAGCTCCCTGTCCTGCCTCGGGTCCAAGTTCCAGTCCGTGCCGGTCCTGACACCCTGGCTTTCTTTGTTATCTGCGATGATTTCGCTCCTTCATTTGCTCGTTGTCTCAGGGCCAGATCACAAGTTCCAAGAGGCCAGGCCAGATCCACCTGGTTTTTTAGGACTGGGCCCAGGGCACCACAGGCAGAAGTGGGTCATTATCTCTCCCTGAGTCTTGTTTTTTTTTTTTTGAAACGGAGTCCCGCTCTGTTGCCAGGCTAGAGTGCAGTGGTGCCATCTCATCTCACTGCAACCTCTGCCTGCTAGGTTCAAGCAATCCTCCCACCTCAGCCTCCCGAGTAGCTGGGATTACAGGCATCACCAGGCCTGGCTAATTTTCCTATTTTTAGTAGAGATGGGGTTTCATCATATTGGCTAGGCTGGTCTCAAACTCCTGACTTCTAGTGATCCACCCACCTCAGCCTCCCAAAGTGCTGCCACAGGCTACCACGCCTGGCTAATTTTTGTATTTTTAGTAGAGATGGAGTTTCGCCATGTTGGCTAGGCGGGTCTCAAACTCCTGATCTCAAGTGACCGCCTGCCTCAGCCTCCCAGAGTGCTGGGATTACAGGCGTGAGCCACTGCGTCCAGTGTCTCCCTGAGTCTTAAGGGAGAAATACCTCAAAGAAGAACTTGATCTTCCTCTGGGGCAACTTCCCTGCTTCCCTCCTGGGCAAATCCAGCCAGGTTTCCTTCCCTGGGTGCAAAATTAGTTCCACTGGGTGCTCAACTCACACATGCTACAGATGGATTAACCGAGGCAACAAGGGCCGGGCCAGAGCCCCCACTTAACAAGTGGGTCTAGAGTCGGCTGAGCCCCCGGTGTGACCCAGACCTTTCTCTGTGTTATCATCAGTTCCTCTGGGTTAGGGGTCTCCAGCAGCCTGTCTGAGCGGGGCGGCTGCTGCAGAGGCTTCCGGAACTTTCTGCCCCTCCTTGGCCGCCTCCCCGCCCCCGTCTCCCACAGGGCCCTGACTTTCGGTAAATGACAGTGGCTCAGGAAACCAAGGGGCCCACACAGGAAGGAGCCGAGTGGGACTTTCCTCTCGCTGCCTCCCGGCTCTGCTCTCCCTTCGAAGGTCCAGGGTCCCTGCCTGCTAGGTAAGAGCTGGTGATGCCGCAGGGCTCTGCCCAGACACTGGGGAGGACGGTGGTGGCTGGGGATGGCTGGGCTGGCACAGGGTACTGCCAGGGCAAAGGTGAGCTCGCCTTCCAGGCCTCAGAGGAAAGCTGCCAGACAGACGCGAGCTGGGACTCGCATCCTCCGATTGCTCGCTTCTCTGGACCTCAGCTTTTAATAAGGCCCGGAGTTGCCCGCCTTGCGGACCTGGAGGGGTCACTGCGCATGCGCAATGGGGGCTGTGAGGTTGAGGGGTGGGAAGGAGGGGTTGGGGGGCGGAGTTCCCATCCCCGACCCTCCGAGCCTTCCCGGTCCAGACACAGGGTGCCCGACCATGCCAGGATGTAGAACGCTGGGGATTATAAACGGGATACCGAGGCGAAAAGAGAGCTTGAGGCCAGGAGTTCAAGACCAGCCTGGGCAACGTAGCCAGACCCCCATTTCTACAAATATTTTTAAAAAACAAACAAACAAAAAACCCATGGCGTTTTCTGGGCCCAAACATCACCTCTGACTTCATTGTTTTCTTTCAATATTTAAAAAAATATATGTTGTTAAGTTTTTTTTTTTGTTTTGGAGAGGGGGTCTTGCTATGTTGTTCAGGCAGGTCTCTAACTCCTGGTCTCAAGCCATCCCTCTGCCTCAGCCTCCTGAGTAGCTGGGATTGCAGCGGGGCGCCATTGCCACTGAAGCTTTATTTTAAACTTGATTGGGGCTGGGCACAGTGGCCCACGCCTGTAATCCCAATACTTTGGGAGGCCGAGGTAGGTGGATCGCTGGAGGTCAGGAGTTTGAGATCAGCCTGGTCAACATGGTGAAACCCTATCTCTACTAAAAACACAAAAATTAGCCAGGCATGGTGGCGGGTGCTTGTAATTCCAGCTACTCGGGAGGCTGAGGCAGGAGAATTGCTTGAACCTGGGAGGTGGAGTTTGCAGTGAGCCGAGATCATGCCACTGCACCCCAGCCTGGGAGACAGAATGAGAATCCGTCTCAAAAAAAAAAAAATAGAAAAAGGCCAGGCGAGGTGGCTCACGCCTGTAATCCCAGCACTTTGGGAGGCCGAGACGGGCGGATCACCTGAGGTCAGGAGTCTGAGACCAGCCTGGCCAACATGGTGAAACCCTGTCTCTACTAAAAATACAGAAATTAGCCGGGCACAGTGGTGCGCACCTGTAATCCCAGCTACTCGGAAAGCTGAGACTGAATAACTTGAACCCAGGAGGCAGAGGCTACAGTGAGCCAAGATCGTGCGACTGTACTCCAGCCTGGGTGACAGTGCGAGACTCCGTCTCAAAACAAAACAAAACAACTTGATTGACTGATGTTGAGGGGAAGATAAAGAGGACACGCTGTGTGATTTTATTTCTATAAAGGGCAAAACTAGGCATCATCTCTCTGTGGGGGACATGGGGCTTCTCCAAGGTTCCTGGGACTAGGAATGTGCTCCTTCTTGGTCTGGGCATTGGTGACATCAAAGTATCCCTTTGGGCCGGGCGCGGTGGCTCACGCCTGTAATCCCAGCACTTTGGGAGGCCGAGGTGGGTGGATCACAAGGTCAGGAGATCGAGATCATCCTGGCTAACACGGTGAAACCCTGACTCTACTAAAAATAGAAAAATTAGCCAGGCGTGGTGGCAGGCACCTGTAGTCCCAGCTACTCGGGAGGCTGAGTCAGAAGAATGGCGTGAACCCGAGAGGTGGAGCTTGTAGTGAGCTGAGATCGCGCCACTGCACTCCAGCCTGGGTCACAGAACCAGACTCCGTCTCAAAAAAAAAAAAAAAAAAAAAAAAAAAAAACAAAGTGTCCCTTTGGTAAGGTTCTTTCCCCCACAAGACTTCCCTTCCCATGGTAACCACCACACCGCTGTGCAAACTGCCCTTCCTGTTTGGTTTAACAGGCTTTGTTGATCGCTTACCGGCACATCATCAAGAAGTATACAAATTAATGCAGATTAATTGAGTTGACACTTTAGGCCTGGACTGGGCTCAGCAAAGTGCCTCACTGAGGCTGCTGTGGAGTCATCCCATTTCACAGCTGCGAAAGCTGAGTCCTAGGGGTCCTAGTCCTCTGGTTGTCTTAAACCTCATTAGGCCATCAGCAGTTTCTCACACTGGTAATCCCAGCACTTTGGGAGGCCGAGGCGGGAGGATCACTTGAGGTCAGGAGTTCCAGACCAGCCTCGCCAACAAGGTGAAACCCTGTCTCTACCAAAAGTACAAAAATTAGCCGGGCATGGTGGCGTGCCCCTGTAATCCCAGCTACTTGGGAGGCTGAGGCAGGAGAATCACTTGAACCCAGGATGCAGAGTAAGCCGAGATTGTGCCACTGCACTCCATCCTGGGAGACAGAGTTAGACTCTGTCTCACAAAAAAAACAAAAACAGGAACAACAAAAACCCTTATTAATGCCGCCCCACCCCAGCCCTGGGGCATTATTTTGGATCATAGTTTTATATCGTGTTGTTGTTGTTGTTTTTTCTGGAGATAAGGTCTTGCTCTGTCGCCCAGGCTGGAATGCAGTGGTGTGATCATAGCTCAATGCAGCCTCAACCTGCAGAGCTGAAGGTATCCTCCCGCCTCAGCCTCCCAAGTAGTTGGGACTATGGGGGTGTGCCACCGTGCCTTGCTAATTTTTTAGAGATGAGGTCTCAAATTCCTAGCCTCAAGTGATCCACCCGACTCCGCCTGTCAAAGTGCTGGGATTACAAGGCTTTTTTTTCTTTTTGAGAGGCGGTCTCACTATATTGCCCAGGCTGGTTTCAAACTCCTGGTCTCAGCCAGGCGTGGTGGCTCACACATGTAATCCCGCATTTTGGGAGGCTGAGGCAGGCAGATCACTTGAGGTCAGGAGTTTGAGACCAGCCTGGACAACATAGTGAAACCCCATCTCTACTAAAAATACAAAAAAATTAGCTGGGCATGGTGGTGCACACCTGTAATCCCAGCTACTGGAGTGGCTGAGGCATGAGAATCTCTTGAACTTGGGAGGCAGAAGTTGCAGTGAGCTGAGATCACACCACTGCACTCCAGCCTGGGCGACAGCGCGAGACTCTGTCTCAAAAAAGCATAAAACAAACTCCTGGTCTCAAGCTATCCTTCCTATTTGGCCTCCCAAAGTGATGGGGTTACAGGTATGAGCCACTGCGCCCTGCTGGAACATAGGTTTTTGTTTGTTTGTGTTTGTTTTTCCCGATATTTTCTTCAGATCTTCTTCATTCAGGTCAATTTGAGTGACCTGCTTTTTCTCCCCGATTTTTCTCAGGGGACTCGAAGCCCCACCACTTACCCCACCCAGCTGGGGGCCCTGAGCGCTGAGGTTTCCGAGGGCAAGTGAGTGAGAGGGTGGGAGGTGTTGGGAGCTGGGAAGCAGGGGGTCGGTTTCCTCCTGGGACCATCCCAGGGAGGCTTTCCTTCTTTCCTTTCCTTTCCTTTCTCCTTCTTTCTCTTTTCTCCTTTCTCCTTTCCTTTCCTTTCCTTTCTTTTTTTTTTTTTTTTTTTTGTTGAGACAGAGGCTCACTGTTGTCCAGGCTGGAGTGCAATGGCATGATCTTGGCTCACTACAAGCTCCGCCTCCCGGGTTCAAGTGACTGTCCTGCCTCAGCCTCCTGAGTTGCTGGGATTACACGGACACACCACCACACCCGGCTAAGTTTTGCACTTCTTAGAGACAAGGTTTTGCCATGTTGGCCAGGCTGGTGTCAGACTCCTGACCTCAAGTGATCCCCCTGCCTTGGTCTCCCAAAATACGGTGATTACAGGCATGAGCCGCCGTGCCTGGCCTCCATTGCTCCTTTCCATGCCCTCCCCGCTCAGAAGTCCAGTCCTCTCTGAGCAGGACTGAAGGGCTTTTTCTCTCTGTGGCCCAGGCAAGTTGCACTCATGGCACCTCCGAGTGAGGAGACACCCCTGATCCCTCAGCGCTCCTGCAGCCTCTTGTCCACGGAGGCTGGTGCCCTGCACGTGCTACTGCCCGCTCGGGGCCCCGGGCCCCCCCAGCGCCTATCTTTCTCCTTTGGGGACCACTTGGCTGAGGACCTGTGCGTGCAGGCTGCCAAGGCCAGCGGTGAGTGCATCCCTAGTAGATCGGGCCAGAAGGAAGGATAGGGCTGTGTGGGGCCAAGATTGGGAGCTGGAATAGTTGCCTGCAGAAGTCAGCATTGGAGCTGGGGCTTTGGGGGATGAGTAGGAGTTTGGTAATGGAGAAAGGTGTGCAGGGTGAGCCTCTGAGGCAGAGGGAATGGCCTGTGCAGACTGAGAGGTGTGACAGCACATGAAGGGAACAGCTGGTCATCTCTTGAGGTATGGAAGGATCTGGATGGTTGGGTATGATCCTGGCACTCATGAAGCCACCGATGGGGTGACTCAGGAGGGAGCTGATGGGACCGTCCCCTGTAGGCATCCTGCCTGTGTACCACTCCCTCTTTGCTCTGGCCACGGAGGACCTGTCCTACTGGTTCCCCCCGAGCCACATCTTCTCCGTGGAGGATGCCAGCACCCAAGTCCTGCTCTACAGGATTCGGTAGGAAGTGCCCCCCCCAGCCTCCAGGGATTGTACAATTTTATCATCTCCTTGCATTTCGAGGTGCCCATACCCCTGCCCCAGGGAGGATATGATCACTACCCATTTCTCAGATGAGGAAACGGAACAGAGAGGGTGGGTCACTTGCCCAAGGTCACACAGCAAATTAAAGGTACAAGCTGGGCTCTGTGAGGCCTCTGCAGAATCTGTCCCCCCCTCCCCACCCCACCACTATACTGTCACTCCTACTGAGGCTGGGTTGCACTTTCATCCCAGGGTTCTCTCCTCTCCTAACAGTTTTTACTTCCCCAATTGGTTTGGGCTGGACAAGTGCCACCGCTTCGGGCTACGCAAGGATTTGGCCAGCGCTATTCTTGACCTGCCAGTCCTGGAGCACCTCTTTGCCCAGGTGGGGTTCTGCCTGGGGTTTGACCCAGGGGTTGGGGGCCTGAGGGACAACATCAGGGCTGGCTTGCAATCAGGTGGGGCCTCGTCTGACCCTCCCTGTGGCAGTCCAGGGGTGGGGGTCAGCCCAGGATTGGGGGGTCTTCAGGGCTTGAAGTTGGGCCGCCTCAGTTGATGCTCCCTGTGGTGGCCCCCCAGCACCGCAGTGACCTGGTGAGTGGGCGCCTCCCTGTGGGCCTCAGCCTCAAGGAGCAGGGTGAGTGTCTCAGCCTGGCCGTGCTGGACCTGGCCCGGATGGCGCGAGAGCAGGCCCAGCGGCCAGGAGAGCTGCTGAAGACTGTCAGGTGAGAGCCACCAGACTGTGGGGATGGCCTCTGCTTGGGAGTGAACAACGTGGGCTCCACTGGGGCTTTGCCGGGCTCCCAAAATGGAGCTCCCCTGCAAGCTTTCAGGGTGTTCCCATGACCCAGGGCCTCCCACGAACCCAGCCCTCTCCACCTCCTGGCTCCAGCTCGAAAGACACCTGACCTCCCCCAGCTAAAAGGCCTGTGGGGTCCCTGTCCGACCTGTGGGCGCCAATGGCCCTCCCCTACTCTGAGGTCCTGTCCCCATACCTGACCCTGAATGAGAGTCTGTATGTGCCTCTTACTCCAACTGGGGCCGCACCCCAGCCCCTGGCCTAAAGCCTGGGTTTGTGTGTGTCCCCTCGGTGACTCCTCCCGACGCTGAAGACCAGCTCCCTCCCCTCCAACCCCCGCAGCTACAAGGCCTGCCTGCCCCCAGGCCTGCGCGACCTGATCCAGGGCCTGAGCTTCGTGACGCGGAGGCGTATTCGGAGGACAGTGCGCAGGGCCCTGCGCCGCGTGGCCGCCTGCCAGGCCGACCGGCACTCGCTCATGGCCAAGTACATTATGGATCTGGAGCGGCTGGATCCGGCTGGGGCCGCCGAGACCTTCCACGTGAGCCTCCCTGGGGTCCCTGGTGGCCAGGACGGGCTGGGGCTGCTCCGCGTGGCTGGTGACGGAGGCATCGCCTGGACCCAGGGAGAACAGGAGGTGAGGGCGGACCCTCCGCTGGGCGGGACCAACGTGGGGTGGGGCTCGGGAGGGGCCGGAGAGTGGGCGGGGATGTGGGGCGGAGCCAAAGCGAAACAGATGGGGAAGTGGGCGAGGCTTAAGGAGGGGCGGGGCTTAGGAAGGGAGGAGACTACGGGAGTGGGAGGGGCAAACTGAGTGAAGGGTGGGGCTGAGCGACGCCGGAATGAAAATGGGAGGGGTTGAGGAGGGAGTGGGTGGGTGGGCGCTGGAATGAAGCAGGACTAAGAGACGGAGTGAGGCTCCGAAACCTGGGAGGCTGCGAAGTGGGGCAGGGATCAAGGAGCGGGGTACCAGCAGAGAGAAGGAGGCGGGGATTGGCAGAGTGGGTGGGAGATGTTTGGGGATGGGCAGGGGAGGGGTTGAGAGGTTTGGAGTTGATAGGAGGGGGCGCGGCTTGGAAGGGTTGAGTGGGAAAGGGGTAAGGAAGGGGATGGCGTGGTTTGGGGGGCTCACGGGCATGGTTTGGTGGGGTCCAGCAGGGCCCCCACTTCGGTATCCCCCTCCTTCCCAGGTCCTCCAGCCCTTCTGCGACTTTCCAGAAATCGTAGACATTAGCATCAAGCAGGCCCCGCGCGTTGGCCCGGCCGGGGAGCACCGCCTGGTCACTGTCACCAGGACAGACAACCAGATTTTGGTGGGTGCAGGATCCCTCTCCCCTCCAGCCTTACCCCGAGGGCGGGACCGGCACCCTCCGGTTGCACTGGGCTCTGACGCTTGTCCCTCGCAGGAGGCTGAGTTCCCGGGGCTGCCCGAGGCTCTGTCTTTCGTGGCGCTCGTGGACGGCTACTTCCGGCTGACCACGGACTCCCAGCACTTCTTCTGCAAGGAGGTGGCACCGCCGAGGCTGCTGGAGGAGGTGGCAGAGCAGTGCCACGGCCCCATCACGTAAGAACCTGTCCCCCATTCGCAGCCTCTGTGGCCACGCAGGTTGTCCATGCTTCAGTGTCCTCACCTTCCAGGAGCCCTGGACAGGGATCAAGTGCTCAAACCACACCTGCCCCACAGTCAGCGCTCAGTGAAGCTGAAGTATTCCGTTTGCTGCACAGGGCGACCACTACTCTCTCTCTCTCTCTGACCCTAGGGCCATTTCCTGGAGATGGATAAGTCGCCCATCTTCACCTACAGCCTCTTGTTTAATCTCCCAGGAAGGGCCAGGCATAGTGGTGCACATCTGCAATCCCAGCACTTTGAGGGGCCAAGGCGAGAGGATTGTTTGAACTCAGGAGTTGGAGACCAGTCTAGGCAACAAGAGAGACCCCATCTCTACAAAAAACAAAAACAAAAACAAAACAAACAAACAAACAAAAAACAGCTGGCTGTGGTGGTTGACCTGTAGTCCCAGCGACTCTGGAGGCTGAGGCAGGAGGATCACTTGAGCCCAGGAGTTGGTGGCTGCAGTGAGCTGAGATTGCACTCCAGCCTGGGCAACCAAACCGAGCAAGACCCTGTCTCTATTAATACAAACAAATAAACAATCTCTCGGGAAGACGTGAAGACTTACGGCCGAATTTTTTTTTTTTTTTTTTTTGAGATGGAGTCTGGCTCTGTCGCCCAGGCTGGAGTGCAATGGCGCGATCTCGGCTCACTGCAACTGCCGCCTCCCGGGTTCAAGCGATTCTCCTGCCTCAGCCTCCCTCCCGAGTAGCTGGGACTACAGGTGCTTGCCATCACACCCGGCTAATTTTTTGTACCATTAGTAGACACGGAGTTTCACCGTGTTAGCCAGGAAGGTGTTGATCTCCTGACCTCGTGATCCACCTGCCTCAGCCTCCCAAAGTGCTGGGATTATAGGCTTCAGCCACCACTCCCTCCCCATGGCTGATTTTATAAATGGGGGGAGAGAGTCACCTGGCAAGGATCCCAGGGCTACAGAGGTACCTGAATTTGAACCCAGGTCTCTCTGTCTTCTTCTGTCTCTGACTCCTCCCTATTCCCTCTCACCTTTCCCCACAGTCTGGACTTTGCCATAAACAAGCTTAAGACTGGGGGCTCACGTCCTGGCTCCTATGTTCTCCGCCGCAGCCCCCAGGACTTTGACAGCTTCCTCCTCACTGTCTGTGTACAGGTCGGTCTACGGCTAGGGCGGGTAGTGGAGGGCTTTCTGGAGGAGGTGACATTTGAGTTGAGATTTAAAAGATCAGTCAGTATTTGGTTCCTGAAGAATAGGAGGGAAAAGATACCCTCAGTGAACAGAACAGCATATTCAAAGGTCTAGAGACTGGAATGAGTTTGTGGTGCTTTAGGAGGAAGGACTGAGACTGGGCACGGTGGCTCACGCCTGTAATCCCAGCATTTTGGGAGGCCAAGGCAGGCAAATCACCTGAGGCCAGGTGTTCGAGACCAGCCTGGCCAACATGGTGAAACCCCATCTCTACTAAAAATACAAAAATTAGCTGTGCGTGTTGGCACAAGCCTGTAATCCCAGCTACTCGGGAGGCTGAGGCAGGAGAGTCGCTTGAATCTGGGAGATGGAGGTTGCAGTGAACAGAGATCATGCCATTGCACTCCAGCCTGGGGCAACAGAGCGAGACTGTCTCAAAAAAAAAAAAAAAAAGGCCTGCCTGGCACAGTGGCTCACACCTGTAATTTCAGCACTTTGGGAGGCCAAGGCGGGTGGATCACGAGGTCAAAAGATCAAAACAATCCTGGCCAGAATGGTGAAACCCTGTCTCTACTAAAAATATAAAACTTAACTGGGCGTGGTGGCACACACCTGTAGTCCCAGCTACTCGGGAGGGAGGCTGAGGCAGGAGAATCGCTTGAACCCGGGAGGCGGCAGTTGCAGTGAGCCGAGATCGCGCCATTGCACTCCAGCCTGGGCGACAGAGCCAGACTCCGTCTCCAAGAAAAAAAAGGAAGAAGGACTCAGAGGGAGAGTGTCGCTCACTCCCACTCAGGGTTCACTCCTCTTTTGCAGACCCCCCTTGGTCCTGATTATAAGGGTTGCCTCATTCGGCGCAGCCCCACAGGGAGCTTCTTTCTGGTTGGCCTCAGCCGATCCCACAGCAGTCTTCGAGAGCTCCTGGCAGCCTGCTGGGATGGGGGGCTGCACGTAGATGGGGTCGCAGTGACCCTCACCTCCTGCTGTATCCCCAGACCCAAAGGTGAGCCCCCTCCTCCCCTGAAATGAGTGGCTGATCTGGGACCCTGGCTTTCTATGTCTGTGACAACTCCTGTGTGGGTGGCAAGTGGCAGAAACTGCAGATCAAGGTGGGTTAGGGAAGAAAAGGTGATTTATTGGCTCAGGAAGTTAGAGATATATAACCTTTAGGTCTGGCTTGATCTAGGCACAGCTAGATGTAAGCTATGTCACCTGCACCTAGTCTCTCTCCATCTCTCAGCTCTGGGTGCATTTCACTCTTCAACAAACCCCTCTGATGGGACAACCCTGAGATGTGAGTTCTTCAGAGTCTCCAGAATCCCTAATAGAACCGAGCCCTGGTTGTCCACAGTGCCACTTGCTCATTAAAGCGCCCTGCAGGGCTCCTTCCTTCCTTGTCTCTCATCCCAAATCCCTGTGAGGGCTTTCTGGATCTCCTTTCAAGTAAACCATATGCCAGCCAGGCGCGATGGCTCACGTCTGTAATCCCAGCACTTTGAGGGGCTGAGGCAGACGGATCACTTGAGGTCAGGAGTTTGAGACCAGCATGGCCAACATGGTGAAACTCCATCTCTACTAAAAATACAAAAATTAGCCGGGTGTGGTGGCACACACCTGTAGTCCCAGCTACTCGGGAGGCTGAGGCAGGAGAATCACTTGAACCCGGGAGACGGAGGTTGCAGTGAGCTGAGATCTCACCACTGCCCCCCTAGCCTGGGTGACAGAGTGAGACTCCGTCTCAACAACAGCAGCAACAACAAAACAAAAACAACAACAACAGAAAACCATGTGCCCTGGAGTCTTCATCAAGGGCAGCTTCTAGAGGTACCCCAAACTAAGGCATGAGTTAGCTAACCCTTGGGGACTTTTCACCACTGATTTCTGGTTTTTGTCCCTCATCCTCTCCCCATAGAAAAGTCCAACTTGATCGTGGTCCAGAGAGGTCGCAGCCCACCCACGTCCTCCCTGGTTCAGCCCCAATCCCAATGCCAGCTGAGTCAGATGATATTTCACAAGATCCCCGCTGACAGCCTAGAGTGGGTAAGGGGCCCTGGGAAATGGGGCGATACCTCAGTCTATGGACCAGAGACTCAGATGTGTGGCCGCAGGCACATGCTATAACTTTGCCTTGCTTCGGTTTTCCCATCTGTAAAATGAGGCTAGCAGCTATGTATCACTTGGGCTGGGATCCTGCAGGAACCCCCTCACTGGCCCCTTCTGCTGTCCCCTCACCATTCAGCATGAGAACCTGGGCCATGGGTCCTTCACCAAGATTTACCGGGGCTGTCGTCACGAGGCGGTGGATGGGGAGTCCCGAAAGACTGAGGTGCTGCTAAAAGTGATGGATGCTAAGCACAAGAACTGCATGGAGGTGAGAGTGGTGGGGACAAGACTTTTGGAGTCAGGGCTGGCTGGAGAGGGGGTCGTGGATATAGAGAAATTTAAAAACACACAGGGGCCTGGGCGTGGTGGCTCATGCCTGTAATCCCAGCACTTTGGGAGGCTGAGGCAAGAGGATGGTTTGAAGCCAGGAGTTCAAGAACAGCCTAGGCAACCTAGCGACATCTCATCTTTACAAATTTTAGGCCGGGCACAGTGGCTTATGCCTATAATCCCAGCACTTTGGGAGGGTGAGGTGGGCAGACCATCTGAGGTCGAGAGTTGGAGACCAGCCTGACCAACATGGAGAAACCCCGTCTCTACTAAAAATACAAAATCAGCCAAGCATGGTGGTGCATGCCTGTAATCCCAGCTACTCGGGAGGCTGAGGCAGGAGAATCGCTTGAGCCTGGGAAGTGGAGGTTGCACTGAGCGAAGATCGCGCCACTGCACTCCAGTCTGGGTGACAGAGGGAGACTCCATCTCAAAAAAAAAAAAAAAAGAGAGAGAAAAGGTAGATGATAGTGGGAACTTCCATCCTGTATCAGAAAATCATGGTAGTGCTGTGTGCACTAATGACAGACTCCAGGGCCAAAGGCGAACTGTGGCCAGATGTTCACCTAAGGCAGGTTTGTGAGCCCAAAATTTGGGATTGTTGGCATGGAAGGAACCCACGTATCTTCTCTCCCTTCCCACCTTCCGCAGTCATTCCTGGAAGCAGCGAGCTTGATGAGCCAAGTGTCGTACCGGCATCTCGTGCTGCTCCACGGCGTGTGCATGGCTGGAGACAGTGAGAGCCCCTCACCCTCCCACCCCACCCCTGCCTCACCCAAGTCCAGGCTGTTTTTCCCGCCTCTGTTCTGAGCCTCTATATGACAGCACCGGCAACACACTGGGCCTCCGTGGATGGGGGCCGTGTTCGAAACCCTTTATTTATGTCTCTTCATCATCACTGCTTGGAAAGTGGCTCCAGGTTCCCACCCATACTCAGCCCCAGAATGATCTGAAGTCAGACAAACCGGGCTTTCTAATCTCTGCAGCTTTGCACGGGTCACATAACCTTTCTGAGCCTTGGTTTCATCGTTTGGGAGTCCAGGATGGGCCAAGAGCTGGGGACAGAGGCTAGAATGTGACAGGCAGGGCGTGATGAGGGGCGAGGAGGGCAGCATGGGGCACTGTGGATGATCAGAGAGGCTGCGGGGCCAGCCTGGGGGTCAGGCAATGCTTGTGGGTAGACAGAGATGCATTCTAACCTGGAAAGATAAGGACAAGTGTGAATTAGTAAAGGAAGAGGGGTGTTCTAGGCAGAGGACACAGAACATGCAAAGGGTTAGAAGTAAGATACAAAGGCTGGGCATGGTGGCTCACGCCTGTAATTGAAAAGCCGAGGCGGGTGGATCACCTGAGATCGGGAGTTCAAGACCAGCCTGGTCAACATGGCAAGACCCTGTCTCTACTAAACATACAAAATCAGCTGGGTGTGGTGGCGGGCGCCTGTAGTTCCAGCTACTTGGGAGGCTGAGGCAGGAGGATAGGTTGAATCCGGGAGGCGGAGGTTGTAGTAAGCCGAGATCACGCCACTGCACTCCAGCCTGGGCAACAGAGTGAGACTCTGTGAAAGAAAGAGAAAGAAAGAAAAGAAAGAGAAAGAAAAGAAAAGAAAGAGAGAGAGAGAGAAAGAGAAAGAAAGAAAGAGAGAGAGAGAGAGAGAGAGAGAGAGAAAGAAAAGAAAAGAAAAGAAAAGAAAAGAAAAGAAAAGAAAAGAAAAGAGAGATACAGATACAGAGAGGGCTCAGCACCTTCCAGGCATTCCAGACAAATCATTCAGAAATGGAGGTGGGAGGAGAGGTGAGTACAGTATGAACAGAGGTAGCAGAGGAGGGAACAGAGATGAGAGTTTGAGAGACCCTGAGAGCCAGGGTGTTGGCAGAACCTGCTCAACACACCCAATCCTGCCTCTCCCTGCTGCCAACCAGGCACCATGGTGCAAGAATTTGTACACCTGGGGGCGATAGACACGTATCTGCGAAAACGTGGCCACCTGGTGCCAGCCAGCTGGAAGCTGCAGGTGGTCAAACAGCTGGCCTACGCCCTCAACTATCTGGTGAGTGCTCCTCTGCCTGCTCCACCCTCCATTCCCAGGAAAGGCTTTCTCTGGGTGGAACAGGAATTGAGAGTGGGCTCTGTAGTATGCATAGGAGTTTGGTAAATGTTCAAGGGGAGGGCATTTTAGGTTGAGGTTGTGAGAACACTAGAAGACAACAAGTCATTCATGGATGTCAGGGGCTATAGTGAATGATAAGGCTGGGCATGGAGAAAGACTTCCTAGAAGAAGGAACATTGGAGATGGGGCCTTGAAGGTTGAGTAGAAGTTCATCAAGAGAAGAAAGGAAGGCAGGCACGTCAGGCTGTGGGAACAACCTAGGCAAAGGCCTGCAGGCTAGATAGTGTGTTGCATCCCCTGGGGTCTATCAGGCAGTTCTGTTGGCAGGAGACCAGGGTGCAAGTGTGGAAGGGAAGTCCATTGGAAGCTTGAGCAAGGGCCTTGAATGCCAGGTTGAGAAGCTTCACTTTGTGTCAAAGGCACTGGGGAGTCACAGGATGGGGTGGTGTTTGAGAAGGGGAGGGACATAGCCAGGTCAGTGTAGGGGGTGAACTAGAGGGGCAAGACAGGATGTCAAGAGTCAGGGATGATGCTAGAGCATGTCCCTGCTCCAGATGGGAAAAGCCCATCTAAGCAGTACCAAATGGGCTTTGAAGGATGTATAGGAGTTTGCCAAACAGACTCTTCATTCATTAAACCCTCCCTGGCATTTCCCTATGCCTGGCCCCCTTAGGAGGACAAAGGCCTCCCCCATGGCAATGTCTCCGCCCGGAAGGTGCTCCTGGCTCGGGAGGGCACTGATGGGAGCCCGCCCTTCATCAAGCTAAGTGACCCTGGGGTCAGCCCCGCTGTGTTAAGCCTGGAGAGTAAGTTCCTGGAGGTGGAGGAGGGAGGGGCTGAACAGGGTAAGGAAGTGGATGCCTGATCCCACTTCCATTCCCTCAGTGCTCACCGACAGGATCCCCTGGGTGGCTCCCGAGTGTCTTCGGAAGGCCCAGACACTTAGCTTGGAAGCTGACAAGTGGGGCTTCGGTGCCACGGTCTGGGAGGTGTTTAGTGGCGTCACCATGCCCATCAGCGCCCTGGATCCTGCTAAGGTCAGAGTCCCTCACCTGGCATCGGTCTCCGAGCCCCTACTTTGACAGAAGGGTAGACTGATATCTAGTTTGGGGAGATTGGGGTGCATCTGGTGCGTTGGGAATTACCAACTCCTCCTCTCACCCTCAGAAACTCCAATTTTATGAGGACCGGCAGCAGCTGCCAGCCCCCAAGTGGACAGAGCTGGCCCTGCTGATTCAACAGTGCATGGCCTATGAGCCAGTCCAGAGGCCCTCCTTCCGAGCCGTCATTCGTGACCTCAACAGCCTCATCTCTTCAGGTGCCCGCTGGGCCGGGTTGGGTGGGAAGGTGATGTCATATTAGGCCCAGGAGAAGGAGTGTGGTTTGCAGCAGGTCACACCTTGTGTGTCTGGCAAGGTTGGAGGGGCTGGTGACTGTGACAGTCAGTGTGAGCTTCAATGGCTGCTGTAACAAACAGTCCCCTCAGTTCAAGTTTCAACATGATGATATCTTATGTATGTATGTATTTATTTATTTTTGAGACGGAGTCTTGCTCTGTTGCCCAGGCTGGAGTGCAGTGGCACAATCTCGGCTCACTGCAACCTCTGCCTCCTTGAACCTCTGGTTCAAGGGATTCTCCTGCCTCAGACTCCCAAGTAGCTGGGATTACAGGTGCATGCCACCATGCCCAGCTAATTTTTGTATTTTTGGCAGATGTGGGGTTTCACCATATTGGTCAGGCTGGTCTCGAACTCCTGACCTCAAGTGATCCTCCTGCCTCGGCCTCCCAAAGTGCTAGGATTACAGGCATGAACCACCATACCTGGTCCATTTCATTCTTTTAAAAAAATGTTTGGCTGGGTGCAGTGGCTCATGCCTGTAGTTCCAGCTATAGGTAGGTGTATCACTTGAGCCCAGGAGTTCCAGACCAGCCTGGGCAACATGGCAAAACTCCCTCTCTCAAAAAAAAAAAAAAAATCATTTAGCCAGGCATGGTGATGCATGCCTGTATGCATTTTTATTTTATTTTATTTTATATTTTTGAGACACCATCTTCCTCTGTCACCTAGGCTGGAGTGCAGTGGTACGATCTTGGCTCACTGCAACCTCCCTGGTTCAAGCAATTCTTGTGCCTCAGACTCCTAAGTAGCTAGGATTATAGGGGTGTGCCACCAAATATGGCTACATTTTTGTATTTTTTAGTGAAGACAGGGTTTTGACATGTTGGCCGAGCTAGTCTCAAACTCCCGGTCTCAAAAAGATCCATCCACCTCAGCCTCCAGTATTGGGATTACAGGCGTGAGCCACCACACCTGGCTAGATTTTTTTTTTTTGTGATGGGGTCTTGCTATGTTCCCCAGGCTGGTCTTGAATTACCAGCTCAAACAATCATCCTGCCTTAGTCTCCCAAGTAGCTGGGATTACAGGCACACACAACCATGCCTAGTGTGATATTTAATCTTCATTCGATGAGGGTGTCCAGGCCCACAGGAACCTCTCACCTTGTGGCTGCACTCACCTCTGGTGTTGGGTCTCTGTTGGATCCTTTGCGGATAAAAGAGAGAGTGTGGAGGGCCCCATACTAGGTTTCCATGGGCCAGGACTGGAGGGGCACCCGGCATATCTTGTCCATCAGCCTGAGCTCAGTCATGTGGCCACATTTCTTTCTTTTTTTTTTTTTTTTTTTTGAGACGGGGTCTTGCTCTGTCGCCCAGGCTGGAGTGCAGTGGTGCGATCTCCACTCACTGCAAGCTCCACCTCCCGGGTTCACACCATTCTCCTGCCTCAGCCTCCCGAGTAGCTGGGACTACAGGCGCCCGCCACCGCGCCCGGCTAATTTTTGTATTTTCAGTAGAGCGGGGTTTCACCGTGTTAGCCAGGGTGGTCTCGATCTTCTGACCTCGTGATCCGCCCCTCTCAGCCTCCCAAAGTGCTGGGATTACAGGCGTGAGCCACCGTGCCTGGCCATGGCCACATTTCATAGCAGTGGAACTGGGGAAATGAGTTCTCATTATATCCTCCATCTTTGTAGCCATGTGGAGTTGCACAGGGTGTGCACTGCACAAGGAGGCTTCCTTTGCCTGGGATGGAGTGGGAGACAACTTTTTCCAGTCTCCACAAGGTACCCTTTGGCTTGCAATGGCCCTGCCATAATGCACAGAGAGGGTCAATATGCAGATGGAGGTTGCACAGCAAGTCAACTCAGGAGTGGGGCCCAGGATGAGAGGCCCTGCTTACCACTGCCCATGCCCCCACCCCAGACTATGAGCTCCTCTCAGACCCCACACCTGGTGCCCTGGCACCTCGTGATGGGCTGTGGAATGGTGCCCAGCTCTATGCCTGCCAAGACCCCACGATCTTCGAGGAGAGACACCTCAAGTACATCTCACAGCTGGGCAAGGTAAGGTGGGCAGGGCCAGGATGGGTTGGAGAGGGCAGAGCAGCATCTAGATGCCTGGACACCAGTCCTGCTGTCCCCCAGGGCAACTTTGGCAGTGTGGAGCTGTGCCGCTATGACCCGCTAGGCGACAACACAGGTGCCCTGGTGGCCGTGAAACAGCTGCAGCACAGCGGGCCAGACCAGCAGAGGGATTTCCAGCGGGAGATTCAGATCCTCAAAGCACTGCACAGTGATTTCATTGTCAAGTATCGTGGTGTCAGCTACGGCCCGGGTGAGCCAGGTCCCAGATGAGTGAACTGAGACATATGGGTGCTTTTCAAAGTGCACATTCTTACCTTCCTGCCAGGCCACTTTAGGTAGGCTGGGAATGTGATTATTGATTGATCCAGATTCACATGGGTTACAGGTTTGAATCCTGACTCTACCCCTTAACAGTTGTGCAATCTTAACTTCTCTGAGCCTCAGTTTCTCTAGCTGAAAAATGGGTCATTGTGATATTTACTTTGTTGTTGTTGTTTGTTTGTTTTTTGAGACAGAGTCTCGCTCTGTCACCCAGGCTGGAATGCAGTGGCTCAATCTCGGCTTACTGCAACCTCTGCTTCCCAGGTTCAAGTGATTCTCCTGCCTCAGCCTCCCGAGTAGCTGGGATTACAGGAGCGTGCCACTGCACCCAGCTAATTTTTATGTTTTTAGTGGAGATGGGTTTTCACCATGTTGGCCAGGCTGGTCTTGATCTCCTGACCTCAAGTGAGGCTTCCAAAGTGCTGAGATTACAGGCGTGAGCCACTACGCCTGGCCGTGATATATAAACACATCAATGTATGTTGTAGAAAGTACTCAAGAGATATTAGCCATGTGTAATTGTCGCGGTTCCCATATTACAGTCAGCAAAACTGAGGGCGAGAGGGACACAAGGTCCCACTGTGAAACGGGGGAAGAATGAGGGGAGGAGCACAGCTGGGCCCTGCTGTGACAGCTCCTGCCTTCTCCAGGCCGCCAGAGCCTGCGGCTGGTCATGGAGTACCTGCCCAGCGGCTGCTTGCGCGACTTCCTGCAGCGGCACCGCGCGCGCCTCGATGCCAGCCGCCTCCTGCTCTACTCCTCGCAGATCTGCAAGGTGCGAGGGGGCGCTCCGGGACTTGTGGGGATTCAGCTGGCTCGGCCTGGGCAGGGGTCTGCGTGGAGGTCGCGGTGAAGGCTGAGGAGTGAAGTTTGGGGTCCAGGTCTCGGGGGTGGTGGGGTTGGCTTAGGGCTCAGGATCAGAACTTCAGTGAAGGATGACTCGAGGGTAGGGTTAGAGTTGGGGTCTGGGTTAGGGTTAGAATCCAGGTCAGGCTTGGGGTGCCTGCCGGATTATCCTGGGATCCTCTCTGCACGCTCACACCGCCCGCCCACAGGGCATGGAGTACCTGGGTTCCCGCCGCTGCGTGCACCGCGACCTGGCCGCCCGAAACATCCTGGTGGAGAGCGAGGCACACGTCAAGATCGCTGACTTCGGCCTAGCTAAGCTGCTGCCGCTTGACAAAGACTACTACGTGGTCCGCGAGCCGGGCCAGAGCCCCATTTTCTGGTGGGGAACCCGCGCCCAGACTCCGCCCCTACCCCTCACGGCTCTGGCTCCTCCCCCAGCCATGGCCCCGCCCCCTGCCTCTGCTTTGTTCCCCAGCCTTAGCCCCGCCCTTCCTCCGCTCCCGCTTTGGCCACTCCCACTCCCCAGAGCCCCGCCCCCTCAACAGCACTGGCTCCTCCGTCTCCTGCTGCCCTGCTGTCAGCTGCCCCCAGCCTTAGCCCCGCCCTTCTCTCAGCTCTCGCCCTGCCCAAACTTAAGAGCCCCACCCCTCCAACACCCTGGCTCCGCCCCTCAGTGCTGGCCCCTCTTAGTTCCGCCCTTCCCCCAGTTCTGGCCCCTCCCCCTCCCTCGGCTCTGGCTCCGCCCAATCTCCGCCCCTCCACGTTGGCCCCGCCCCCTCCCCTTGGCTCTTCTCAGGCACCTCCCAGGGCTGGAGAATCCGCCCATCCCACAGCCAGGGAAACCGAGACCTGGAGACGGGACTGACCGGCACACAGTCCCCACCTACCCTCACCAGTTCCCCATTCCAAGGCTGCCCCCCTCTTCCTGTCTTTTCTCCACCCTCGCATCTCAAGACCTCCCTGTCCCCTCTCCAGGTATGCCCCCGAATCCCTCTCGGACAACATCTTCTCTCGCCAGTCAGACGTCTGGAGCTTCGGGGTCGTCCTGTACGAGCTCTTCACCTACTGCGACAAAAGTTGCAGCCCCTCGGCCGTGAGTCGGCTCCCGTGGGCCCCAGCCTCCTTCTCCCTCCACGCCCCTCGTGGCCAGTCTCCAACCTGTCTGCGCCTGCGTCCCTCTTTAGCATGGGGTCACCTAGTCCCAGCATCATAGGCCTCAGTGGGGAGGACCCTACCTCACTTTTCTGACCCCTTCACGGTGCAGGCAGCCCCTCCCCGCTCCATCACAGGTGGCCCCTACCCACACCACACCACGGGTGGCCCCTCCCCCTCCACCCACGGAGGCCCCTCCCCCACCACATGCGCTCCTCCTTGACTCCAGGAGTTTCTGCGGATGATGGGATGTGAGCGGGATGTCCCCGCTCTCTGCCGCCTCCTGGAACTGCTGGAGGAGGGCCAGAGGCTGCCGGCGCCTCCTGCCTGCCCTGCTGAGGTGAGCGCCAGCCTCAGTTTCCCAGTCTGTAGATTGGGCCGGGGTCTCGGGCACGCCAGCTGGCGCCTGAGTCTCTGGACTGAGAGGAGAGGCTAGAGTGTGAGGCTGATGAGGATCCTGACCCCCTACTTGGCTACTCTCTCACTGTGAGGCAAGTCAGAGCACTTTCAGAGCCTCAGTTTACCCTTTTCCAAAATGAGAACAGTAACGCCTTATAGCGTGAGGGAAGATCAGACTCCTGAACACCTGTGCCTATGAGGGCTCAGCTCAAAGCCGAGCACACAGTCGATGCTCCATAAATGTTGGTGACGTTCATGGTTTTTTTTTTTTGTTTTTTTTTTTGGAGACTCCAGGGGCACAATTATAGCTCACTACAACCTCCACCTCCTGTTCAAACCAGCCTGGGCAACATAGTGAGACCCTGTCTCTACAATAATACAAGCATTAGCCGGTGCGGTGATATGCACCTGTGGTTTCAGCTACTAGGGAGGTTGAGGCAGGAGGATTGCTTGAGCCCGGGAGGTCAAGGCTGCAGTGAGCCATTATTGTGCCACTGCACTCCAGCCTGGACAACAGAGTGACACCCTGTCTCAAAACAAAACAAAACAAAACAAAACAAATTCTGGTAGTGATAAGTGCCTTGAAAGAGATGAACAGAGGGAAATGGTGGGGGGTGGTCAAAGAGAGCCTCTTAGTGGGACAATGTTGGAAGGAGGAGAAGTCTACCCACAAGTAAAGCTAGGAGAAGAAATTTCCAGTGGAAGACATGGAAGGGATAAAGGCCTTGGGGAGGGAATGAGCTGGGTGCGTTTAAGCACCAGTGCCATGGAGGCAGGTGTGACTGCCTGGAACAAATGAGGCAAGGAGGGATGGAGACGAGCGAAGGAGGGCATCAGGGGAGAGGTGGTTTTCGTTTTTTGAGATGGGGTTTCGCTCTTGTTGCCCAGGCTGAAGTGCAATGGCGCGATCTCGGCTCACTGCAACCTCTACCTCCCAGGTTCAAGCAATTCTCCTGCCTTAGACTCCCGGGTAGCTGGGATTACAGGCGCCCGCCACCAGGCCCGGCTAATTTTTTTTTTTTTTTGAGACGGAGTCTCACTCTGTCGCCCAGGCTGGAGTGCAGTGGCTCGATCTCGGCTCACTGCAAGCTCCGCCTCCCGGGTTTACGCCATTCTCCTGCCTCAGCCTCCCGAGTAGCTGGGACTACAGGCGCCCGCCACCACGCCCGGCTAGTTTTTTGTATTTTTTAGTAGAGACGGGGTTTCACCGTGTTAGCCAGGATGGTCTCCATCTCCTGACCTCATGAGCCACCCGCCTTGGCCTCCCAAAGTGCTGGGATTACAGGCGTGAGCCACCATGCCCAGCCTAATTTTTTTATTTTTTTATTTTTAGTTAAGACGGGGTTTCTCCATGTTGGTCAGGGTGGTCTTGAAAGAAGTGTGTTCTAAGATCCACAGGGGCTGGGTGCGGTGGCTCATGCCTGTAATCCCAGCACTTTGGGAGGCCCAGGCAAGTGGATCACATGAGGTCAGGAGTTCAAGACCAGCCTGACCAACATGATGAAACCCCGTCTCTACTAAAAATGCAAACTTAGCCAGGTATGGTGGTGTGTGCGTGTAATCCCAGCTACTTGGGAGGCTGAGGCAGGAGAATCACTTGAACCCAGGAGGCAGAGGTTGCAGTAAGCCGAAATCGCGCCAATGCAGTCCAGCCTGGGCAACAAGAGCGAAACTTTGTCTCAAATAAATAAATAAATAAATAAGATCCCTAGGGAGCCATGGGAGGTTTTGGAGCAGAGATGGGATGGAATTTAATTTGTGTTTTAAAATTGAATGGGGCTGGGTGTGGTGGCTCATGCCTATAATCCAAGCAGTTTGGGAGGCCGAGACAGGTGGATCACCTGAGGTCAGGAGTTTGAGACCAACCTGGCCAACATGGTGAAACCCTATCTCTACTAAAAATACAAAATTAGCCGGACGTGGTGGCACGTGCCTGTAATCCCAGCTACTTGGGAAGCTGAGGCAGGATAATTGCTTGAACCCAGGAGGTGGAGGTGGCCGTGAGCGAAGATCATGCCATTGCACTCCAGACTGGACAACAGAGCTAGACTCCGTCTCAAAAAAACAAAAACAAATACACTGAATGGGAGTCGTGTCCTTCTGATTGTTCAGGCATGACCCCATTCTCTGTCCCCCGTCCCTCAGGTTCACGAGCTCATGAAGCGGTGCTGGGCCCCTAGCCCACAGGACCGGCCATCATTCAGCACCCTGGGCCCCCAGCTGGACATGCTATGGAGCGGAAGCCGGGGGTGTGAGACTCACACCTTCACTGTTCACCCAGAGGGCAAACCACACTCCCTGTCCTTTTTATAGCTCCTGCCTGCAGACCTCTGGATTAGGTCTCTGTTGATTGGCTGTGTGACCTTAGACAGGGAGCTGCCCCTCTCTGGGCCTCAGAGGCTTTATAAGGGTCCTCTACTTCAGGAACACCCCCATGACATTGCATTTGGGGGGCTCCCGTGGCTTGTGGAATAGGCTGTGGCCTTTGCAATCTGTTACGATTCAAGACAGATTGGCAGATGTGTCAGTGACACTCTGAGTCCTGGCCCAAAGAAGCAAAGAACCAAATTTAAGACCCTCCTATCTTCCTATCCCCTCAAGCCCTGGCCCCCTGAGTTTCCTTTTCTCTCTCTCTTTTTATTTTTATTTTTATTTTTGAGACAGAGTCTAGCTCTGTTACCCACAGTGGAGTGCAGTGGTGCAATCTCGGCTCGGTGCAACCTCTGCTTCCCAGGTTCAAGTGATTCTCCTGCCTCAGCCTCCTGAGTAGCTGGGATTACAGGTGTGCACCACCATACCCAGCTAATTTTTTTTTATTTTCAATAGAGATGAGGTTTCACCATGATGGCCAGGCTGATCTCAAACTCCTGACCTCAAGTGATCCTCCCACCTCAGCCTCCCAAAGTGTTGGAACAATAGGCGTGAGCCACCACGCCCGGGCTTTTATTTTTTTAATTTATAATTATTGATATTAAGAGACAGGATCTTGCTATGTTGCCCAGGCTGGTCTTGAACTCCTGGACTACAGTGATCCTTCTGCCTCAGCCTCCCAAATAGCTGGGACTACAGGCACCCAGTTTTGAGTTTCCTGTCTTATTTTCAATGGGGACATTCATGTAGCTTTAAATGTATGATCTGACTTCTGCTTCCGATCTCTTGTTTCTCTGGAGAAAGCCAAGGACAAGAGCAGTTGCCCTGGCTGGGACTCTGTCTTTTGGGGTAGTCCGTGTATCTTTTTGGTATCCTGTAAGGGGGCAGGAGGGGCTGGAGTCCCAGTCCACCCTAATGGTACCTGAGCATCCCAGGGCTTCAGTTTTCCCACCTGTCCAATGGGACCCCTTCTGTCCTCACCCTATAAGGGGCACAAAGGGATGATACCAAACCTGGCAGAAACTTTTCACGCAGTCAAGGGAAGGAAAGGCATTCCTGGCAGAGGGAACAGCATGCCAAGTGTGAGAAGATTCAGAGTAAGGAGGTTAAGAGTCCAGGTATTGGAGCCTATGGTTTTGCCCCTTCCACGCTGTGTGACGGTGGGCAAGTTCCTTTCCCTCTCTGGGTCTCAGTTCCGTCACCTGCAAAATGGGCAGAGCTTACCCCTTGGCTGTGCAGGGTCAACTTTCTGACTGGTAAGAGGGATTCTCATGAAGGTTAAATTCCTGCTGCTCCTCCTCACCTACCTGCAAAGCTTTTCTGCCACTTTTGCTCCTTGGAAAACTCTTATCCATCTCTCTAAACTCCAGCTACCACATCCTTGCAGCCTTCCCTCATATACCCCCACCACTATTGCACCCCTGTCCTTCCCTCCAGCCCCACTGTGACCCTGGGGTTGGGGAAATGTCTGTGTCCAGCTGTCTCCCTGAGGTCAGCCTCAGGGTTCCTTGAGGCCTCAACGCAGAGGGACCTCTGGGAGTGTTTGTTGACTGAATAAAGGAATTCAGTGGAAACAATGGTTTGTGCTGGACTTGGGGCGATGGGGAGCCTCAGAGGGTGTGTGAGCTGGGAGGGATGTGGTTAGGGCTGTGGGCCAGAGACCTCTCAGGGAGCCACTGTGGGGGCCCCAGGGCAGGCTGGTGGAGAAGGACCACTGGGTAGGGCTTGGCTGGAGCCCTCAAGGACAGAGCACCCTCACTCCCAGGCCCAGCTGCTGGCCTTGGCTGCAGACTGGGGGAGCTGATTACAGGCTCTCTGTGGGTGGGGAAGGAACAGGCTGCTCTCCCAGTGGTCAGAGGACAAGGCTAGGTTGGGGGAGCGAGGCTGTGGAGAGGGAACCAACATCACTGGGGCTAGGCCACCTCCCCCACACCGGCCCCCGTCATGTGTACCTCATAACTGCTAGAAAGATGTGGAGAGTGGCCAGGTTCAGTGGCTCACGTCTGTAATCCCAGCACTTTGGGAGGCCAAGGCAGGAGGATCACTGAGGTCAGGAATTTGAGACCAGCCTGGCCAACATGGTGAAACCGTCTCTACTAAAAATACAAAAATGAGCCTGGTGTGCTGGCACGTGCCTGTAATCCCAGCTACTCAGGAGGCTGAGGCAGGAGAATTGCTTGAAACTGGGAGATGGAGGTTGCAGTGAGCTGAGATCATGCCATTGCACTGGGCGACAGAGCGACTCCGTTTCAATAAAAAGAAAGATGCGGAGAGAGACAGACAGACAGAAGGAAACTAAGAGATGAAGGCCGAGAGAGACTCGGAGAGAGAGAGAGAGAAAGATCTCTGTCCCCACTCTCTTAGCCCCAGAGAGTCCCCTAATTTGGTAGAAATGGGGAGGGAGCTGCTCTGTGGTCAAGTGAGACCCGAGTTCCAGCCCAGGTTCTCTCCTGCCTCAGGTCATCCTTCCCTCTCTCAGCTTCAGATTCCCTCCTGTAAAACAAAGCTATAAGACCCCCTAGGCAGGAAGCTGGGGCCAAGCATCCGCTGAACAAATAAATCCTGCTCTATTCCGGCTCCCCCAGCCCCTGCTCACCCAGAGGGGACCACTGTGTTGGGGAGACAGAGTTTTGGATGAGACACCCCCAGTCCTGCGTGTGAGGCGCCCTGAGAAGACCTGGGCTCTGCTCGGTCTCCTGTGACCTTGGGCAAGTTTGGGGTCCTTTCTCTGTGCTTCAGTTTTCTTTTCTTTTCTTTCTTTTTCTCTTTTTCTTTTCTTTCTGTTTTTTTTTTTTTTTTTTTTTTTTTTGAGACAAAGTCTGGCTCTGTCACCCAGGCTGGAGTGCAGTGGTGCGATATCGGCTCACTGCAACCTCCACCTTCCCGGGTTCACACCATTCTCCTGCCTCAGCCTCCCGGGTAGCTGGGACTACAGGCACCGCCATCACGCCCGGCTAATTTTTTTGCATTTTTAGTAGATACGGGGTTTCACCGTGTTCGTCAGGATGGTCTCCATCTCCTGACCCTGTGATCCGCCTGCCTCAGCCTCCCAAAGTGCTGGGATTACAGGCGTGAGCCACCGCGCCCGGACTCTTTCTTTTTTTCTAGTGAAGAGACAGAGTCTCTGTCCCCCAGGCTGGTGTGTATCAGTGCGATCTCGACTCACTGCAATCTCCGCCTCCTGGGTTCAAGCAATTCTCCTGCCTCAGCCTCCCGAGTAGCTGGGATTATAGGCATGCACCACCACACCTGTCTATTTTTTTTTTTTTTTTTTTTTTTTTTTGGGACGGAGTCTCACTCTGTCGCCCAGGCTGGAGTGCAGTGGCCGGATCTCAGCTCACTGCAAGCTCCGCCTCCTGGGTTTACGCCATTCTCCTGCCTCAGCCTCCCGAGTAGCTGGGACTACAGGCACCCACCATCACGCCTGGCTAATTTTTTTGTATTTTTAGTAGAGACGGGGTTTCACCATGTTAGCCAGGATGGTCTCGATCTCCTGACCTTGTGATCCGCCCGTCTCGGCCTCCCAAAGTGCTGGGATTACAGGCTTGAGCCGCCGCGCCTGGCCTTAATTTTTTATTTTTAGTAGAGACAGGGTTTCACCATATTGGACAGGCAGGTCTCGAACTCCTGACCTCAAGTGATCCACTTGCCCCATCTTCCCAAAGTGCTTGGATTACAGGTATGAGCCACTGTGTCTGGCCTGTGTGCCTCAGTTTTCTTATTTGTACAGTAATAGAAACAAAATTCTGAACATTGCTGGTCTTGGAAGATGCCCGCTGTCTTCCCCCCTACCCCCCAGAAAATGCAAGATTATTACTTTTCAGATCTATTTCATCTCTTTAAAATGGTTAAGACAATAGCGAAGACTTGGCTGTGTGTGGTGCCTCACACCTGTAATCCCAGCATTTTGGAAGGCTGAGTAGGGAGGACCACTTGAGTTCTAGATGAGCCTGGGCAACATAGCAAGACCCCTGCCTCTACAATTAAAAAATTAAAAATGGCCGGGCGTGGTGGTTCACGCCTTAATCCCAGCACTTTGGGAGGCTGAGGCGGGTGTATCACTTGAGGTCAGGAGTTTGAGACCAGCCTGGCCAACACGGTGAAACCCCGTCTCTGCTAAAAATACAAAAATTAGCCGGGAGTGGTGGTGGGTGCCTGTAATTCCAGCTACTCAGGAGGCTGAGACAGGAGAATCGCTTGAACCCAGGAGGCAAAGGTTGCAGTGAGTCGAGATCGCACCACTGCTCTCCAGCCTGGGAGTGGCTGGACTCTGCAGCCTGGGAGAGCAAGACTCTGTCTAAAAAGGTAAAAATAGACCGGGCGCGGTGGCTCACACTTGCAATCCCAGCACTTTGGAAGGCCGAGGTGGGCAGCCAAGGTGGGCGGATCATGAGGTCAGGAGATCCAGACCATCCTGGCTAACACGGTGAAACCCCATCTCTACTAAAAATACAAAAAAGTGCGGGGCGCGGTGGGTCACGCCTGTAATCCCAGCACTTTGGGAGGCCGAGGCGGACGGATCAGAAGGTCAGGAGATTGAGACCATCCTGGCTAACACGGTGAAACCCCGTCTCTACTAAAAATAGAAAAATTAGCTGGGCGTGATGGTGGGCGCCTGTAATTCCAGCTACTCAGGAGGCTGAGTCAGGAGAATGGCGTGAACCCGGGAGGCGGAGCTTGCAGTGAGCCAAGATTACACCACTGCACTCCAGCCTGGGCGACAGAACCAGACTCCGTCTCAAAAAAAAAAAAAAAAAAAAAAAAAATGTTAGCTGAGCGTGGAAAAAAAAAAAAAAAAAAAAATGTTAGCTGAGCGTGGTGGCAGGTGCCTGTAGTCCCAGTTACTTAGGAGGCTGAGGTAGGAGAATGGTGTGAACCTGGGAGGCAGAGCTTGCAATGAGCTGAGATCACGCCACTGCACTCCAGCCTGGGAAACAGAGCGAGACTCTGTCTAAAAAAAAAAAAAAAAAAAAAAAAAAAGATAAAAATAAAAATTAAAAAATTTAACAATTAGCCGGGCATTGTATTGCAGGCCTATAGTCCCAGCTACTCAGGAGGCAGAGGCTGAAGGATGGCTTGAGCCCAGGGGAACGAGGTTACAGTGAGTTATGATCCTGCCATTACAGTCCAACCCAGAGAGACCCTATGTCAAAAATGAATAAATAGCCTGGTGTGGTGGCTCTCACCTCTCCCAGGACTTTGGGAGGCCGAGGCGGGAAGATGACTTGAGTCCAGGAGTTTGAGACCAGCCTGGGTAACATGGTGAAACCCCATCTCTACAAAAAAATACAAAAAATTAGCCGGGTGTGGTGGCATGGGCCTGTAGTCCCAGCTACTCAGGAGGCTGAGGCAGG